TGGGCCCTCAGGGCCGGTACTTCCCTGTGGTCGTGACATTGAGGGGTTGCAGCGGGGAAAAACACTCAAGTAGCGGGCAGGCCGGTACCGCACCTTGAAGGGGTAGATGTGTAGGTACCCGAGGTTGAGCAGAATAAGACAAAAGTGGCATTTTTAGAGGCGCATTAGTTGTAGGTTAGGTCTAGGCAGATATCAGTCCAACCAGTCTGGGGCTAGGGCCTGTACGGGCAATATCAGAGTCTGCAATGATGTTTCCCTCCGAAAGGGAGGAGGTACAGGTTGCTTGGGAAGCCGAGCGGCCAGGAAGTCACCGCCCAAGAGGCAAAGCAGGCCGCTATATCTTCTGGTCGGGCAGAGAGTCCTGCCTCTTTTTCGGTGTGCAAGTTTGGCGACACACTAGTGGAGCGCTGGCTGGAGCAGCGCTATGCTGGAGCAGCGCTGCTGGGGAGGAAGGAGAAGGACATGAGGGAGGAAGAAGGAAGGGGGAGGAGCGCCAGGGGTACTTACCTGGCTATGGTGGCAGCCATCTTCATCACCTTGGTGGCCGCTGCAGCAAGGGGTCCCCAACTGGGGGAAGCCACACCAAGAAGCTTCAAGGCAAGGTTGGGCATGGCGGCCTGAGTTAGAGCAGCCATAGCTGCTTTGGGTTGTCCTTTGGGCATCTGGGCAAGGCCTAGTAGTCCGCCATAGCCTCGGCTTGTGAGAGTGAAGAGTGGGGAGGGGGCCATGGCTATGGTGGACCTCAAGTGATACCTGCAGTAGAAGAGGGACTCGGACATTGATTCTGGATCAGTCATTCAACATTGTATTATTACTTCTTGTATGAATAAGAGAAGGGGGAGATAAGGAGGAGGAGATTGTTGAGCGAAGAAAAAGAGCCTTGTCATTGTCTTTGCTGGTGTACATCTTCTTCTTCTTCTTTCTTACTTCTTCTTCTTCTTCTAATCCTCTCTCTCTACTCTCAAGTCCATTCATTTCTTTCGGCAATTGGATGGCATTGTACTTTCCGGTGGATGTGTATCTCGAAATTGACCAGGGTCATAACATTGGTATCGGAGCGGATTCTACTTGCTGGTGAGAGTTGACTTTGCTGCCCTAACCCTAACCTAAGTGGTTGAGGGCAACACTTAGGGTTAGGGTTGGTTGGTTGAGGGAAGTGGGGCAGCGTGGCTAAGGGAAGCTGCCCCCACCTGGTTAGGTCATGTGGGGTCAACATAGAACCTAACCAGGTTGCTTGAGAGTGAGATTAGGGTGGCGAGACATTTCGAGGAGACTTCATGCGGCGATTTGAGAGAGGCGACAGTGAGAGGCACTCGCACCTGGAATCTGATTCAAGGGAGACACTTGGCAACTTAAGGGCTGCCCTCAAGTAGGCGAGCTTGAGGGTTAGCGGCCACTCAGCATCTACGGACTGCAAGTTGCTACTTTGTTCTTCAGCATCGACGGGGGATCCGTCGTTGCACTTTGGTGTTGGAGTTAGACCCTCCTAGGAGATAAAACACTAGTGTAGGGGTAGCGTTAGAGGGGTCAGGAGGACCACATGCGAGGGGGGGTGAGTTCTATTTATCTCGAAGCTCAAGGCCACTCAGGTAAGTGTCGTGGACATACAGGATGCCCATGTATGTGTGTATGATATTGATTGTCCTGCTGGGGTACTCTGGGTTTCTTTTCCTACTCCTCTGTGGTCTTGATTGTGTGACTGAATGCATGTGATCTACCTACTCACCTGATGGATGAATGAAGTATCTTGACCTAAATGCCGAGTCTTTGTACAATGCTTTGTCTTTTCATCTCTGAACGGTTGTAGTTCGTAGGTTCTGCCAGAAGTTGAAATTTCGTTTTTCAGTGCAGTAGAGACTGAACTAAGTCCTTGTGGGACTCCTCTTGGTTGGGACCTGGTTTGTGACCTATGTGGGACCCCTGGGACCCAGCGGTACCGGGCCCAAACAAGAAGAGCCTCTAGACCCAAATCGGTTAGACATTGACCTCTTGTCTTCTTGGTTGGGATACGAGTTCATTCTTCTTGGATTAGCACACCCACTTCCAAGGGGATCTTGGCTGACTGTGGCTTGACTCGCAACCTGTACACTCATTGTTGCATTTAGTCACTTGTTGTCTGGTTTGTTGTACATTCACGGAGCTGGTCAGACTGGACTCGAGAGGACCTCGTATGCAGTCTGATCAGATTGGGTCATTGGATCAGACCTCTCGTTTGAAGTTGTTTGTTTTTCTTTTGCTGCTCTCTACTTCCAAATGAAATGCCGCTCCGGATAGGAGTTCTACCTTCTCTTCTCTTAGCTTTCAGTCTGTTTCTCTGAGTTCATTTCCGATGCCCATGGAGACTCGCAACCAGAAAGAAGAGAGAGAGAGGAGGGAGAGAGAAAAGGGAGAGAGGGAAAGTGACCGTCTGAAGTGGGCAAGGACTGGGAAAAGGAGTGTTCGTCCAAGTGAGAGGGGGAGTGAACCTCTTGAGAGTCTAATTGATTCTTTTGCTGACTGGCGACTCTCTGACCCACCTGCCAATACTGACAGTCCAAAAATGGCTCAGCTAACTTCAGTGCAATGGCGGGCCTTGTTAGATGCAGCCAATGATGCCGAAAAACCATATCTACAAGCACTCTTAGATAGTGCAATCAAAAGGGAACAGGAGGCAGAGAAGGAGAGGAAGGAGACATTGCTGAAAATGCAAGTGGCCATCCTAGAGACTGTTCCCTCACCGACTGAAGAGCAGTTTGGGGAACAGTTACAGTCTATACTCACAACTCTTGTTCAAGTCAGGAATCTTGAGGATCATACCACTCACATCGCTGAAGTCTTCGCAAATTTGCAAACACTTCAAGATGATCTGACTGATATGACCCGCAAGTACCATGAATTGACAAGGGAGGTGGCTGAGCTGCGACAAGCCCAAGTGGCCAACCTTCTTCCTCTACCCCCTGGATCTGAAGCTGCAATTAAAACTACCTCTGCCTCTCTTACTGTATCTTCTTCCTTGAATGTGTTGGCAACCCCCTCGGGACCTGCAACAGGTGCAGATTCCGCTGTTGCTGTGACAAGCAGTGAGGCTGGAAATTCTGCAACTGGTGCAATCCCAAGATTGGAACCAGCAGGAGCTGGTCCCAACTACACCGATCCCTATGTGGATTGTAAGGCGGTTCAAATACCGTCTAAGTAAGTACGACGACAAAGAAGACATTGAATCCTGGATCAGCTCCATGAGGGCATGTTTCGAGATTCTGGGGACTCAACCTGAGAACCAGTCCGTAATCATGGGAATGAATGTCGAACCGGTCGTGCAGGGCTTCTTAGAGGTTCAAGCTACACGAGCCGGGATTCCTAAAATTAAACTAACAAGATGGCTTAAGGCCACCCCGGTTGCCTCCCTCGAGGAACTCCTCATTTCAGAGTACCTGGATCCACATGCTGCAGCAAGGGCAAAAATTGAGCTTGACAAAATCAAGCGCTGTAAGTGGACGGGCTCCATGAAAAGCCTGCAGACCTATCTTAGCAAGATGTTTGCTACACCCGGATTGGAACTGACTGTGCAATCTTGTTTGGATGTGGTCAAAGGCGCGGTTCCCACCAACTTTACTAATCGCCTGGGCAGGGACTTCATTGGTTACACTGACTGGTTCACCTTGATGAAGGACATAGTCAGTCTTGAGGTTGTGGACCTCGTCACCACAGCAGGCAGCAAAAAGCCCATGGGCGGCACATGGTTCAAAGGCAGCAACCGTTTTGCTGTGCATGACCTGCTGGAAGCCGGAGAAGAAGCCGATGTAGATGACCCCACTCTTGGTGACGACCAAGAACAGGACTCTGATACAGCTTGTTCTTCAGCCCATGAGTCTGATGCAAATAAAGAAGAAGAAAAATTTACTACCTTTAAAAAGACTGACAATGCAAAGGGAGGAGTGCAGGGAAGAATTATGTCCAACTTCCCAAGGGAGTCAAGATCCCACCTAAACCGGAGGATTCAACTACTAAACCTTGGGTTGAGCTCCGGATTACTGAAAATTACTGGCGGGGTAAACTCAAGAAGGGGGTATGCCTGCATTGCCAAAAACCAAACCATAAGGTACAAGATTGTTATAGGCTGCAGGGTAACCAGAACCGGGCATAGAGTCAACTTCAGCAAACTCTACAACAGGGGAGACTGAATCTGAGGTAGATCAACAGTCCTCCCTTGAAGCCCAATCATCTACTGAACTCAAGGCTGAGGTGAGTGATGTCTTGTATGTCGAGCCTTGGGAGTAGTCTGGGACGGTCGATTTTCATTACCACTTGGAGCATTGGGCTGAGATGAAACAGCAGCGTGCCCAGGGGACGGTGAAGTTGATCTTCTTCAAACTTCTCATAAACCACCGCTATCTCCGTGTTTTGGTTGACTGTAGTGCTACGACTAACTTTATGTCACCTCACGGGATACGCAAAGTGGGCTTGGGGATGAAGCAAGTGGCCTTGCAGAACCCTTACCGGACCCAAGTTGGCAACAAAGAAGTTGTCTCTTCTACGCACGCAGTCAAAGGTGTGCGCACTACCTTTGACAAGGACAAAACTATCACACACGCGTTGAACTTCTATGTTCTTGACAAGAGCCCCTTCGACGCTGTCCTTGGTTTGGGCTGGCTGCAGTCCCAATGCGAATAGACCAAGTGGAAGGAGTCACTTTTCATGATCAAAGATGCTCGAGGGAACGAGCTTCCTGTCCTCTTGGATGAGAAGCACAAATCCCCAGTGACTTTTCTAAATGCGATGCAATTCTGCAAGAAATGGCGCAAGCACAAGGAGGAAGAACAATTATATGTTGCCTTTGTTCGTCCTACCCATGTGCCATCTACTTTTGCGGCTAATACCACTACTACTTTGACTAGTGACCCCACTTCTAGTACTTCTACTTCTAACACCTCTATTTCTCTACCCTCTAACGGTCCAAATGATCCTACTTCAGATTCGGTCGTCTCTATACGCGACCTGCGACCGGATCTAGGTGATCCCTTTGCTGATCCCCCACCCCCACCTGTCCCACCAGACATCCAAAACCTCCTCGATCGGTTTCCGGAAGTTCTGGTCGAGCCACGTGGAGTCCCCACGCGATCGGTCCGACACACCATCGAGTTGGTTGAAGGTGTTGTTCCTCCAAAGGGTTGCGTATACCGAATGGGACCCGGCGAGTTGGAGGAACTCTGGCGACAGATTGATGAGATGATTGACAAGGGGTGAATCAAGCCTAGCGAATCTTAATTTGGTGCTCCTGTGTTGTTTGTTCCGAAGAAAGGAGGCAAACTCCGCATGTGTATTGACTATCGCGGTCTAAACCGCATCACAAGAAAGAATGCCTATCCATTGTCTCGCATAGATGACTTGCTTGATGCCGCAGGTGGGTGCAAGGTCATCTCCAAGATCGATCTCAAGTCTGGCTACCACCAGATTGAAGTCGATCTTGCGGACCAGCACAAGACTGCATTCAAAACACGCGATGGGCTTTACGAGTTTACCGTAATGCCCTTCGGTCTCACGAACGCACCGGCCACCTTCCAAAGCCTCATGGGCAAAGTCCTCCGCGAACAGATTGGCCTGTTCGTGGTGGTCTACCTCGATGACATTTTAATCTTCGGTGAGTCCATGGACGAAAACCTCAAGCACCTTGAGGAAGTACTGACCATCCTCAAGAAGACGCAGCTCCATCTCAACTTAGAGAAATCTGAGTTTGGGAAGGATAGTGTCATCTATCTTGCGGACCGGTTGTCTGCTGCAGGCCTAGAGCCTGAAGCAACCAAGGTGGAGGTCATACGCAACTGGCCTCAACCCGTGAACATTCGCGAACTGCGTTCTTTTCTTGGTCTCACGTCATACTATTGGAAGTTTGTGCCCCACTTCTCCATTGTTGCACGTCCATTGTCTCGACTAACAAGTAAGAATGTTCCCTACTCTTGGGTCTCACGTCATACTATTGGAAGTTTGTGCCCCACTTCTTCATTGTTGCACGTCCATTGTCTCGACTAACAAGAAAGAATGTTCCCTACTCTTGGGACACCGCGTGCACGAACGCCTTTCAAGCCTTAAAGGACGCCTTGGTAAGTTACCCGGTACTCCACATTGCAGATCCAAAACTGGCATTCGTAGTAACTACGGATGCAAGTCAATATGGAATCGGCGTAGTGCTGCAACAAGATGATGGCGATGGCTTGCGGCCACTCGAATACTACAGCAAACGCATGCCCAACGTAAAGGTAGCCACTTCCACCTACATGCGCGAGCTCTATGCTTTGCGTATGGCGTTGGACCACTGGAAACACTATCTTTTGGGACGCCACTTCAAAGTCTTCTCAGATCATGAGACTCTGAAGTGGATCGAACAGCAAACTACCCTATTCCGTACCTTGCTTCGCTGGTTCCATGAGATTGACATTTTCGATTTTGAATTAAAACACAAAAAGAGTTGTTATAATCGAGTCGCTGACGCATTGTCTCGCCACCCTAAGTACATGACTTGCCTTGTCAAATCCTACGACCTCCGGAAGAAACTGAAGGAGGAGCTCGTAGAGCACACCGCCAAGGATCCGCAGTTGAGTTCCATCCTTGAGCGGCTACAGGCTGACCCCAGCAGTCAGCCTGATTTTCACGAGTATGGAGGACTGATTTTTCGTCGCTACGGGAACCACGACCGTTTGTGCATTCCCAACCATGAGCCTCTCCGCACGCACTTTCTGGATTTGGCTCATGGCCGGAGCGGACACTTCGGTATGGCAAAAACGTACACAAATTTGTTGAGACAGTTTGATTGGTCTGGCATGAAAGGGACTGCTGAAAATTTTGTGGTTGAATGTCAAGTCTATCAACGAATCAATCCAAGCAGACAAAAGCCGATGGGGCTACTCACACCCTTACCCATTCCCGATGGACCCGGGGAGTCCGTCTCCATCGACTTCACCGACACGGGAAAGGTAAGTAAGAGCGGCTACTCACAGGTCATGGTGATTGTTGACCGATTCTTTAAGTTCCTCAACCTGATCCCTTTGCCGCCTCATGCCCCAACAGAACTAGTGATTCGTGAGCTCCAACAGAAGTACATTCTGCTGTTCAGAACCCCGAAGACTCTTGTGAGCGATCGGGATCCGCGCTTCATTAGTACTGAGTGGAAGGACTTCACGTCTCAACTGGGGATCAAGCTGTGTATGACATCTGGCCGACATCCGGAAGCCAACGGTTTGGCTGAGGAGATCAACCAGACTGTGTCTCAACTTCTTCGCGCTTTGGTTATCCCGGATCAGGAAACATGGGATGAAGAGTTGTATTCTGTTAAGGGGTTATACAACAACTCCGTCCACTCCGCCACCGGCATGACACCCAACAGGCTGCATTACGGTTGGCAGATCCGGAATCCGCTCTCTTACCTATTCCCTGAGCAGCCAGCTGGCTTAACACCCGGCGGACCTGGCTTCAGGGCCAAGTATGATCGCTTGCTCAAAGTTGCCATTGCAACTATGACCAATCGACAACACACCATGATCCATCATGCGAACAAGAAGCGCCGATCATCGGATATTTAGGTACGAAGCTATGTCTGGGTCAAGATGTCTGAATTCTCAGAAGAAGAGGGAGTCTCACGCAAGCTTCTCCCTCTATTACGGGCCCTGGGAAGTTTTGGATGTAATTGGTGAAAATCACTTTGGCGCTCCGTATGTCATTGATGTGCCAGCCCATCTGCGCACATACCCCGTGTTCCACGCATCCAAACTGTACCTCCACCGTGATGCTAAAACATTCGACTACCGCGAGGACATGATCCCTCGTGCGATCAAAGGCGTGCATGAGATAGACAGGATCAAACAGCACGTACGGAAGGGACGCAACAGACAGTACCAGGTTCACTTCACGTATCACCCATTAGACGATCTGTACTGGATTTCCAAACAAGAACTGCTACGCAGTGCACCGCGTGTTGTCAAAGCATACGAGCGACAAATCGCCACTAACGATGTACCTAAGATATCTGCAAGGCTCACTGCAACAGAGTACTCTAGGAATCTCTTTGCCTTGCTCGCTTACGATGCGTTTGTCGAGGACGCAGAGTGAGTTACTCGCTCGAAGGGACCTCGCTCTTGAGGGGGGAGTAGTGTGATGACCCGTCCATACATGGAATGAAACACACAGCTGATTTATGAGTTTTGCCCATAGACTGAATGCCCTGCTGAGTTTCCCGCTTGCTACTAAGTCTGTGTGTGCACGCTTGCTGGACTGCATGTCTGTCTAAGTGCTGGATGGCTTGAGTGTGTGTGTGACCATGCCTGTCTGAGTGTTGGTTGGCCTAGGTGTGTGTGCGACCGTGCATGTCTGAGTGTTGGTGGGCATAAGTATGTGTGTGGCCCGTCAGGGCACTTGGTCGTTCGTTGGGCCCTCAGGGCCGGTACTTCCCTGTGGTCGTGACATTGAGGGGTTGCAGCGGGGAAAAACACTCAAGTAGCGGGCAGGCCGGTACCGCACCTGGAAGGGGTAGATGTGTAGGTACCCGAGGTTGAGCAGAATAAGACAAAAGTGGCATTTTTGGAGGCGCATTAGTTGTAGGTTAGGTCTAGGCAGATATCAGTCCAACCAGTCTGGGGCTAGGGCCTGTACGGGCAATATCAGAGCCTGCAATGATGTTTCCCTCCGAAAGGGAGGAGGTACCGGTTGCTTGGGAGGCCGAGCGGCCTGGAAGTCACCGCCCAGAAGGCAAAGCAGGCCGCTATATCTTCTGGCCGGGCGGAGAGTCTGGCCTCTTTTTCGGTGTGCAAGTTTGGCGACACACTGGTGGAGCGCTGGCTGGAGCAGCGCTATGCTGGAGCAGCGCTGCTGGGGAGGAAGGAGAAGGACATGAGGGAGGAAGAAGGAAGGAAGAGGGAGGAGCGCCAGGGGTACTTACCTGGCTATGGTGGCAGCCATCTTCATCACCTTGGTGGGCACTGCAGCAAGGGGCCCCCAACTGGGAGAAGCCACACCAAGAGGTTTCAAGGCAGGGTTGGGCATGACGGCCTGAGCTAGAGCAGCCATAGCTGCTTTGGGTTGTCCTTTGGGCATCTGGGCAAGGCCTAGTAGTCCGACATAGCCTCGGCCTGTGAGAGTGAAGAGTGGGGAGGCGGCCATGGCTATGGTGGACCTCAAGTGATACCTGCAGTAGAAGAGGGACTCGAACATTGATTCTGGATCAGTCATTCAACATTGTATTATTACTTCTTGTATGAATAAGAGAAGGGGGAGATAAGGAGGAGGAGATTGTTGGCGAAGAAGAAGAGCCTTGTCATTGTCTTTGCTGGTATACATCTTCTTCTTCTTCTTTCTTACTTCTTCTTCTTTTTCTAATCCTCTCTCTCTCCTCTCAAGTTCATTCATTTCTTTCCGCAATTGGATTGCATTGTACTTTCCGGTGGATGTGTACCTCGAAATTGGCCAGGGTCACAACAATTGCAGAGTTCCGCTGATTTTGCGAATAGCGTGTTTATGGCTCTTGCGATCCGCTACAGGTCTGAGGATCGTGCAGCGGGCCTCTGTCTGCCCTTCCCTACAGCCAGGGCCTACCGGGCTATTTGCCTATTCGTCTTGTGGGACCAGGTCGTGGCCTGACCCCACAGGCCGTGTGCTATTTCAGTCCAGTCCAGTCCTGCGCTGTTGGTACCAGGCCAGTCCAGTCCAGTCCAGTCCAGTCAGTCCGCCAGGGGTATACCCCAGCTGCAGTCTGTTTTGCGTTCATTCTTCATTTTGCACATCTTGGAGTACGTGAGTGTCGAGTCCGCGTCGGACCTGCGCTGTCCCTTCCAGCTCCATCTCTTCCACCCTCAACCCTTCGTCCTCATCCTGACGGACCGCCATCCCAGCGGGTCCGCCACATCGAGGATTCCATTTTTTGTTTTTATTTTTAAGCACCACTACCTTTTCCCATGTAGGCTGCTGCCAGGCTCCCGATTCTTTAGGAGGCGGAAACGACACGATGACCGCCGTTGAGATTTGTCAACAGCGGCCATCATCGGGCCCAGCCTCCGATCTCTTAGGAGTAGGTTATTTTCCCGGTTTCCCAACTGCGGGAAAGGTAGTGGTGCTTTAAGGTACCGGTACCGGCCTCAATGTTTTGGACCGGAGGTCCAGAAGGAGGCTGTGTCCAATACCTCTGAAAGTCGCGGCAATCATGAAAGAAACGGGCCACTACGGAAGGGCCCAAATTCAATCAACTAGAAAAATTTCTACTCTATTTTCCCCGCAGCTAATATACGGGAAAGGTACTGATGGTTTAATGGAAAGCAGCCTTACATTAATTGAAAAAGGAGGTCGGGAATCCCTCACATCTCAACCCGGAGAACTGGGGCCACTACCCAGCTTAGGCTTGTGCTGGAAACCGGATCCAGCGTCCCATCAAAACAGCTACTTCTTCAGAACAAAACAGCACAACCGGACAACAAGATGATCAACACAAAAGGAAAGAAGAAGCTTTGTAGCATGTCCTACATTAGCCTTGAAGACTGATTCTGGGAGCATTACCCAGCCTTTCTGCTGCTTAGAACACAGCCCTGACTGTTCGGTGGAAACCGGGTACAATTTCCCATTGATTTGTCACGACAGCTTCTCTTGTAGCTCGCCTAAGATTCCATTTTTTTCTCATTAATGCAGCAGCATCAAGACAGTTGGCAACGTATCAGTGCTAGGATCTTTTTTTTGCCCTCTTTCCAGTGTGTGTGTGTGTGTGCAAACTAACGAACAATAAAGCAAAAAAGTTACGTGGGTTTGGGTTTGAAACACAGTGGCAATCAAGAATATCACTCTTGCTTACCATAGAGTGACTTCGTACTGGAATTGGTTTCCCATCGAGATCAAACCTCCCGACTCGTGGTCCCACAAGCCAAGCACCTGCAAAATCGAATGAAGAAAGAGTTAAAAGACTGCAAGTGATAAACAACAGAGAGAACAGGTGAGGGAATAATGTGACATGACTCGCATGAGAGAATATCAAACAGAATGAAGTTTGCAACAGGTAACTGCAAGGAAAATGAGCAATAGCGAAATGACAGATTCCAGATTGCAATATCACACTGAATGCCAGAAAGTACGACACTGTCCAGAAAGCAGAATTGCACCGATATTACACCAATGAACCAAAACACTGACTCCGAGTGTCAATGAGAGCATGCTCCTGCCATCACCAACATAAGTATCCAGAGCCCTACTCCTACTTGGCGCTCGGCGCCCAGACTACGATCACGCAGCTACTACCAGCCTACAAATTGACAATCCCACTGTTGACGTCAGCAGCAGAACCGAAGGACATGAAGATGTCGACCCTTGTAGAC